CTGGTTAATCCCAAAAGGACAAATTCAGTCACATCTGTGAAGTTGAGCATCTTCTCACTTCTGCTAATATGAGTTATAATAATCTGTAGAACTAATATGAAATAAATTAGCTAAATGTCCTATCATACAAAAATCCTATTTCAACTTGGAATATAATCCTTAACGTGTAAAATCAATGAAAACATAGAAAAACAGTTAACATTGCTTTGAGAATACTTTGAGAAAAGTCCATTCTTTGATGATTTGAGAATTTATTCATGTATGTAGAATATATCACCTGTACTTTTTGTAGCTATTTTACATCATGTTTTCCTAAGAAAACCGTTATGCTTTCTGTGATGTTAGGCATTACTAAGACAATTTCATAAGTATTCTTCCATCAGACAAAAGTTCAAAACCTGTAAGTTCTTTTAAATTCATAGAGATACATGTCCTTGATACTAAAATTATGCATGCGAAATTATGTGGAAAATAGTTCTAGAATAGCTATCCTTTCTGTCACTCAATACATACATACTGTCACTTGATACATACATACATACATAGACAACCATTCCACTAAAGTCAATTAACAAGAACTTAGAAGGTTGTTTTATTGGTAATGTGCTTTCTTTGCAAGCATCTAGACCTAAGTTGGTCCCTGGAACTGAGGTAAAAAGATAGGCAAGATGGTAAGTATACTGAAGAGATGGAGATAAGAGAACTGCTTGGACTCTCTGTTCAGGCTGTGTAGTCAAATCACTGAGCTTCAATTCCACATGTCAAACACTGTCTCAAAAAAACAGTACATAGTACCTGAGAAAGAACAATAGCAGATATTTTCCTTTGGCTGGAACAAACATACAAACACACATACATTCACACACACACACACACACACACACACACACACACACACACACAAACACAGAGACACGCAAAGATTATCAGTGAAAATTCAGTTTCTGTACAATATACAATTCAAGTCTATCTAGTGAGAACTGAAAATCTCTTTTCTCATACTCATAGTTGAAGAAGAATTATTAGTGTATCTGATCATACAGGCTCACAGATACAGAAGGCATCAAATAATTCATGCAGTTGACTGCATTCCTCTACAAATATCACTAAAATTTACAGCAGTTAAATTCTTATTTGGAAAATCTAAGCCGATTATGTGGTACCAAGATACATGTAACACACATGAAAAAAAAAGTATAGATGGTGGTATTGTTGAATCCTTCCAAAAAGCTAGTATTTTTTAAAATATCCTGAGTGATGGTGTCTCAGTTGGTGGATAATAAACTCAAATAGAGAAATTCTTGTATTGGATCAATATAACCCCCCAAACTTTAAGCAATGCAATGAAGTAGGAGGCCAATTATCTGCAGGGCATGTGGAAGATTACTTGTGATCTTAATTTAAAAATGTATACATTAGCCTTCCCTTACCGTATCATTCTATTCCAAATTAAGTAATCTATGTGAATATATGTTTTCATAATTCAGGCATAAAATGATATTTAATATCCCAGTTAAATATTTCTGTTTCTATTTTTGCATCTTGGTTGAATTCAAGACCCAACACATATTCTGGATGTGGGCATATTTGAAGCTTGCTTCATTTCTCTCTGGATTTATCTGATGTTCAATATGTGATAATCATATTCATTGTCTGTTCCTTGATTTATGTCACATAATATGACAACAATAATGATCATATATAATTGATTGTACATTTACAAATATGAAAACTTATGTAATCTCTTAATAAATAATGAGCAATCTTTTAACAAATAATGAGCATGCAGGGAACATTTATTAATTACTAAGTGCATTCTAATAAGAATATATAATAATCAAATGTAATTTATATTGAAATCCTGCCATTCTTTTGTCTCTATGTCTCACATATACATATACACTGGGAATGGGATCTTGAAAGTCTTCCTGTAAATAATACAATTAGATAAAATGTAAGGCCCAATCTTTATCTGATAGACTCTTTTTAAGCCAACTTGAAAATCTGTGTGCTACATAGGGAGATGCAGAACATCTTGGTACATACCTAAACCTGAGAGAACTTGGCGACTTTCAAGAGAATCCTCTCTTAAATGTTTGTGGAGGATAACAAAGAACAGTTACAGATTTCTCTGAGGAATGTCTCAGGGGAAATGTATCTCTAGAGCGAGAGATAACTCATTTTTTCATCACTTTAACACAAGCATACCCTGCCCCCAAGATTCTGCTGTTTTGATAGTTGTTGCATTATCTTCTCTTATTATAACTGGATATGAGCCTGGGAAATTTGTAAAGAATAAATGAGTGCATGGATCTTAGTGCTAGAGGTTGCAGGGACTAGAATCAAGGAGCTATACTTAATTCTATTCCACGGATGAGGAAGAATTGTAGTAGAATATTATTTTAAGGTGTGTTATTTTTGCTTGTGTTGCATTTGTTTAACTCTGTGAAGCTGTGTTACTGTGCCTGTGTAAAACACTGATGTTCTAATAAAGAACTGGCCAATAGCAAGGCAGGAGAAAGGATAGGTGAGGCTGGCAGGCAGAGAGAATACATAGATAGAGAAATCTGGAAGGATGGAGAAGGAGCCAGAGAAGGAGATGACATAAGGGGCCAGTCACCCAGATACACAAACAGTAAGCCATGAAGTAAGAGTAAGAATTACAGAAGTAAGAGAACGAGAAAAGTCCAGAGGCAAAAGGTAGACAGGATAAGTTAAGATAAGGAAAGCTGGCTAGAAAATAAGCCAAGCTAACGAGGTCATGAAAGAGATTTTATAATCCCCTTTCTCATCATATGGTTCACAGCATTCTCCTGCAGACTCAAGAAAATATGTGTATATGCAGCTTTTAGATCAACAAAAATAAGAGATACAATTGAGGGTAAACCCTAGGAAACTGTACTAGGCTTACACTAGTATACAACTGTCTGTCCACCTGTCCTTTCTCACTAAAGTGAAAATGTAATTGTAATCAGATTACATATATGAGTCTAGAACCCTACATCAGAAATAGGAGTTTTTATATCATAACACCAATGAGACAAGGAAAATAAAGAATGGTAAGTCAAATTATATAATCTTTGAAAATATAAATTTGTTTATGCACACAGGAAGAAAACAAATAACCTTTAAACAGAACACACAGCATATATAATAGGTGATTGGCTCACTAATGTGGTTAGCAAATCTGCTCCCTAAGGCGTGTTCCATGGAGAGTAGTGATAGGTGATCGGCTCACTGTTGTGGTTACCACACACTAAGCCTGTTCACACAGAGTATATGGTATGGTTATTGAAGGTTGGTAGACACAGAAATATCTTCTTTCAAAGAATTTGAAGTTCAATGAAATAACATTATTCAAGCCTAATTAGAATAATCACTTTATTTCAGACATAATCTGTCCATTCCGAGTGGTATGACAGTAGACTGAACATCTTGCTTCAAACAATATGATTGTTGAACAGAAAACAATACTAATGAATAGAATTCAGATAATTCAAATGTCCAAGTAGTGTGCTGTAATATTTAACTCTATTATTATTCAAATATATCTAACTTAAAAAAGTTATGAAAATTTCTGTCTTTTAAAAATTGTTTAAGTTTTATCATCTAAAGTCAAGATCTAGCTAACAAAAATTAGGCGTTAAGATAAAGTAGGTATTTGGAGGTTGCAAACTTCATTTTAATGGAATAAGGAAAAAGACTATCAATAAAATTAGCACATGACATGTCAAACGAGTACAATAAAACACAGTAGTGTGATACCTTGCTTTCTAAAATAAAATGTATTTATTGAAGTAATATATATTTGAGAATTAAAAACTCACTTATTATGCAGTTAATTTAAGCTGCTTACAATTTATAATTCATAATATTAATAAGATCAAAAATCCAGAATCAGGGAATTTGGCTCCAAAGATAACAATGTAACTAAACATTTTGAAATAGCCTCTAATTTTTCAACAGAACTTAATTATTTGTAAAATCAGACCGAATTACATAGTTTTTTTTTTTTTTTAACAATTGGCTTCAGAAATTCCAGTTGTGAAAAAGATTTCTGAACTGTCAATTATCAGTGGCCTTAGGGAAAGGCTACTACAAGGTCACCTCCAAGGTACTGCAAGGAAGTCCATGAAGGTGGTGGGGGCTAGACTTTCTCTATCTGAGGGTATTTAGAAATAAGTTTCTATCTATCTGACTGGTGAAATAAGAAAACACACATGCCTTCTGATGTTAACTTTCTCTTTTACTTCATCTTAAAAATGGTCTCTGACTCTGTCTGCTACATACAGCTACATATCTCCACATTGCTACATTCTATACATACAGCTCAGCTAAATATCTTTCTTTATGTACATATGACCATACATTTTTATGCAGTTACATCTGTTTTCACATGTCTACACATCTATCTTTTACATAAATTTCTCTTCTATATCTTTTTTTATACAGCTTCATCTTCCTTACCTCCACACAGTTACAAATCTCCACAGAGCCACAGCTAAGCATCTCTCACCATAGAGCACTTTACACAGTTCCTAGGCACAGCGCCTCTAAATAGCAGCAGCTCTTTCACATAGCTCTTTCTCTCTCTCTTGCTTACACACACATAGTTCTACATTATTCACTCACTCTTTACTCATTCCCTCTGTCACCCACTCACTCCCTCACACTTCTCTCATGCTTCTTCATTTGTCCCTCAGCATGCATGTCCACGCGCACGCGCGCGCGCACACACACACACACAAACACACACACTTCACCCACATTCTGTAGGAGCTCTCACAAGCTCTGCACAGCCATCTCTCTCCATCCTACCACTGCTGCTCTCTCTGCCAACTTCTGGACAATTTTCAGAGCCCTACCCATTCTCAAAACATAAGATAAGTCACAGAGTTTCTCTGAGGCTAGCATTGTCACATTGACCCATGCACGTAGCTCTAAATTGGTGAGTGGTCCCAGACATTAAACAACTAACTGAACCTTGAGTGGTCAAGATGTGTGAAGAAAGGAACTACTGCAAGGACTATGTCAATATAAAAAGCCTGGCCTTGATTTAGCAATAAACAACACCCGGGAAGTAGTCTTTGTGTATTTTCTGTAGGGGAAGGTTAATCTGTTTTGTACTTGTTCTAAGGTCTTTGCAACATGTCCAAAAAAGCTCTCTTTGAGACTAACAATAGGGTTGGGGATTTAGTTCAGTGGTAGAGTGCTTGCCTAGCAAGCAAACCCTGGGTTTGGTCCTCAGCTCCGGAAAAATATAGATAGATAGATAGATAGATAGATAGATAGATAGATAGATAGATAGATAGATAGATAGATAGATACAGACAGAGACAGAGAGAGAGACAGAGACTGAGAATATTGTTACTTTCCTGTGTCAGTAAAGAATATTCTGGCAATATTTCTGTTCATCAGAATTATACAGCTTAAACAGAAATCCACAGGTAAATGTGTGCACAGAGATATAAAACACACTATGAAAGGGCTTAGAAAGCACCCCACAGCTGTTCTTGTTAAGGAAGCTGCTGGGGACCAGCTCCAGCAGAGATGAGGACTTGAGAAGGGTGAACATAACAGCTGTTATAAAGAATTTGTACAGGACAGCAGTTTGAATCCTTTTCTGAGCCTCTAGTAATATTGTATTTTTTACTGTGCTTTGGAGGTAGTGTATAGGAGAGAATATATTATGTATATCTCTCTCTTCCTAGGGCCACACTGCTGTGGATATCACTCTATATAAATAAAACACTGATGGCCAGTGACCAGGCAGGAAGTATAGGTGGGACAAAGAGAGAGGAGAATTGGGGAAACAGGAAGAATGGGGGAGAGACACTGCAGCCACAGCCAGGACAAGCAACATGTAAAGACGCCCGTAAGCCACCAGCCACGTGGCAAGGTATATATTTATAAAAATGGGTTAATTTAAGATATAAGAACAGTCAGCAAGAAGCCTGCCACGGCCATACAGTTTATAAGTATTATAAGCGTCTGAGTGATTATTTTATATGTGGATTGTGGGACTGCCGGGCTTGGTGGAGCCTGGAGAGAAGCCCTCCAGCAACACCACACAATTTATTTTTATGTCTTACAACAATGATTATATCAGTCTATAATTGCATTTCAAAAAATATCTAATCTGTGACTATTTTCCCAACTGGAATCCAAACATCCTTAAAAAGTCATAATCATAAAATTCAGTGATCACAGTTCCTAGAGCAAGTAGACAAAATGTAACTAAGGAACAAAGGAGAGACCTTTAATATTTCCTCATGGTCACCATTGCCAGATAATTAGAATCTAAAAGACTAATTCTTAACTTATAACAAGCAAAACAAAAATTCTTATGAAATTATACTATAATCTATTTTAAACATTTACATATATCCTAATTTATATGTCTATATAATTTCTTCAAAGTTCCTATCTTTCATAATTTTCTAATTTTCTAATGATTAACTCAATGTGAAATCAAATTCTTTTTCTTGATTCTTAGTTTTCAAATTTGCATTTTATATCTATAAAAGCACTAATAGCTTCTCTACAAAATAAGCAGAAAATGTTCCCAAACTCATTTGTGGCTTGTGGTGATATTGTGTTCCCCAAAATATTGTGCACCCTAATAAATTTATCTGAGGTCAGAGAACAGAACAGCCACTAGATATAGAGGCCAGAAAATGATGGTACACACACCTTTAATCCTAGCATTCCAAAGGCAGAGATTCCTCTGGATCTCTGTGAGTTCAAAGCCACACTGGAAACAGCCAGGCATGGTGACACATGCCTTTAATCCCAGAAAGTGATGGCAGCAAGCAGAAAGGTATATAAGGCGTGAGGACCAGGATAGAGCTGGTTAAGCTTTTAGGCTTTTAGCAGCAGTTCAGCTGAGATTCCTTCCAGATGAGGACTCAGAGGCTTACAGTCTGAGGAAACAGGATCAGCTGAGGAACTGGCAAGGTGAGATTAGCTGTGGCTTGTTCTGCTTCTCTGATCTTTCAGCATTCACCCCAATACCTGGCTCCAGGTTTGTTTTTATTAATAAGACCTTTTAAGGTTCATGTTACAGTGGGTTTTTGTTTTTGTTTTTACTTTCTCAATTTTGATCTTCATCTCCATCCTGGGATCTAGTTAGAACATCCTGTTCAGCCATTTCATCAATATTGATACTTTCAAATGTGTAGGTTTTATATTACTTTTTTCAATTAATTTATTCATTTTATTTCATTTCCCAGACCATCTCAGATCATCAATATTTTGAGTGCAAAAGAGAATAAGTCACTGAATCCAAAACCCACTATACACATGATTTTATTTTTTAAGTAATGAAATTAATGGAGGAAGTGACACTGTATCCACTCAATCAGAAACTGAAACTTTGTCTTGTGGTTTCTTTAGCCAAACAACAATCATACAGTCTACTTAATTAAATGGCATTCAGCACCACCAGGAGGCATAGGGGTGGCACCTGAGAAAGTTACAAACACAAAACAACTGGTTTCCACAGCCTGTGACCCCACGGCTTTGCCAGTTGGAGCTCCTCCCCACTAGGGATTATACGTCTGGTGGGTCTACTTGTCAAACACTAAATGTCACCTGCTGTCACCCCATGGCCCTCAGCAGTCAATTTACCCATTAAATTTGAAATTGATTAGTAGCCCAAATGTGTGTGTATGATGTTGGTGGTGTTTAATGACCTGTATGTCATGACCCAAAGCCTTTTGCAGCATGTTATTCTAAGCTCTGCACTATTTTTCTATTTTTAATATGAAATAAATGAATGAAAATATCAAAGAATAACAACTATTATTTTAAAAATTCACAAACAAAATTTTATATTTAATGAAAATAAAAATAAATTCAACGCCATCCAAAAGGGTTTTCTTATGAACATTAAGTATCATTGCACAGTTTAATCTTCTATTTTTCTGAAAATGCTCTAGTGATGGCCTTGCTCATGGCTTCTTTGACATCCTTGTTCCTAAGACTATAGATCATGGGATTCAACATAGGAATAACTGTGGTGTAAAACACAGCTACCATTTTCCCCTGCTCCACAGATTCCTCAGTTGGGCTTCTGAGATACATGAAGAAAAGGGTTCCATAAAATATGGTGACAGCTGTCAAGTGGGAGCCACATGTGGAAAAGGCTTTTTTCCTTCCTTCTGCAGAACGCATCTTTACGATGGCAATAAGGATGAATATGTAAGAGACAATAATAACCAGTAAGGAATAAGAGAAGTTGAGACCTGCTAAGGTGCGCATGGTGTATTCTTTAATGAAGGTCCCAGCACAGGCCATCTTGATGAGAGCTGGGTCTGCACAGTAGAAGTGGTTAATCTCAATGTTCCCACAGAAGTATAAACCATGAGTCCACAATGTAGAGATTAAACTGATAAAGAAGCCGTAGATGTAAGGGAAGGAGATCAGTCGTATACACACAGTCCGTGACATTCTGCTGCTATAGAGCAGAGGGTTGCCAATTGCCATGTACCTGTCAAATGCCATCACTGCCAAGATGAAGACTTCCACATGGACAAAGGCAATGAAGAAGAAACACTGCACTATGCACCCAGGGTAAGAGATGGTTTTCACTTCAGACACTAGATTTTCCAACATTTTAGGGGTGACATTAGAAGAGAACCACACATCTGCAAAAGACAGGTGACCGAGGAAAAAATACATGGGACTGCTGAGCTGAGGGCTGATCCTGATTAATATGATCATCCCAATGTTGCCAAGCAGAGTGACAATGTAGACAATCAAGAAAACTATAAAAAAGAGGATCTGCAGCTCAGGACGACTAGTCAACCCGAGAAGGATAAATTCTGTTACATCAGTGAAATTGGGCATTTTCTTAAATCTCATCCAGAGACAGAAGCATTCTATCTAATAAAACAAAGAAAAGCAGTAAGTATGCATGTGGAATATAGACAATCCAGACATTTGTGTTGATATAACATTTTCCTAACTCATTTTCTTCAGAGAGCACTGATGCCTTTATTTATCTCTTTTCTCTTGCATATGCCATATTTCATAGTATTTTGCACAATGCATGTATACATATATACACACATTATAGTTTTTACACTAGAAGATCATAAAATACCATAATCACAATGTTTGGATTTACTTGCTTAGAACAAACATTTTACATATCTATATCTCTATATATCTATAGATATATAGATATATAGATATAGATATATAATTTCAGTGACATATATAGAGTTTAGTCATACCTTAGAAATGCATCAAAAGATACTACAAAATGAGAATAAAATATAAACCTCTATTAGGTCTTTAAGTAGTAACTTTATTTTTTAAGAACCCTAAGACATTATTGAATATTTGTCAAACATGTCTCCATTATGAACCAATCCATGAGAATCACCCCAAGTTTCATCTTCTCTCTGAAATTTATACTTTTGAACTTAAAAAGGCAACCATTTTTAAGCAATCTTTGTCTTCTTTCATTTCAGTTAGAACTCTGAGCAACAAAAATATACATATATGTAATAACAATTGGTGAACGAAGATGCCATGGATTTGAAGGAAAGTGGAGAGATGCCGGTATATGTGAGGGGTTGGAGGGAGGAAAGGAGAGGGAGAAATGTTTTGATCATACTATAAACTCAAAAGAAAGATAAAAAGGAATTGAGTTACCCTAAATATTATTCATTAATAAGTGTTTATAACTTAAATTAATGGCATTTCTAAAGTTTACCAGCAAGCTACAGAAATCTGTGGTGTGTGTAGTGAAGGAGTTTCCACTTCTGACTATATAAGATTAAGGGGCATTCCTTCAGAAGTTTATTTCTTTCTCTCAAAATAACATTCTTATGGAGGATGAAATAAGACACAAGTAATGATAATAAGTGTTTAAAAGAGCATAACACTGAGCATTGTTAAGCAATACTGATTTATAAATCATCACCTCTCCTTAGTATATCAGTAATCACTTCTGCTACATCCCCCTACTATTAACTTTGCATTGAGTTCCCTACCCACAGGTTATTTCACTGCTGCCAAACCATCATTTAATCTAATATTGCTCACTAAATTCAGTTTATGCATATGACATTATCTTTACTAACAATATAAATTAAATATCATTGTGTTTGAAGCTATATTAACTTTAAGGCTATATTTAACTACTTACTTTGTTTATTTTAATGTTTTCCAGAAAACTCACTTGTTCTCCTTCCATGTACCAGTAACAATTATTAATAGTGTATTTCTTGTGTAGAGAAATCATTTTCCTACCCATTTAGAATCTGTTCTCCTCCCCTTGTTCCACCCCGTACTTTATGTTCCATCAATTCCTCCCATTTCTGATGAGACTTTATGTGATGGGTGAGTGACAGAGACAGACAACATAAGAAATTATTTTCTTCTTATGTTTCAAATGGTTGAAGTCAATAAAAATGTATATTCTACACAGTAATTATAAAACTTTAAAGGACTAATAGATGGATTTTTAAACTGTGAATTCATAGAAGAAAGAAATCAAGACAAGTCTTTTAATACATCTTTACTTCACCAGAAGATATACATTAATCCTTTTGACCTCTTCCAAATAATTGACCATGCCACACATTTATAGCTGGTAAAATTGTTTATCTTGTCTGTCTGCTCAATTCAGGCACATTGAAAGTATTTTAATAATGTTTTGTACTTTGTAGGATATCACTGGTTTATTTACTACTAAACTTCTTATGGTTACATGAGCTTTTTAAAATTTTTATTAATTAATTCACTAGTTTTTTTCCCTAGCACCATCACAGTCCCCCCCCATCTCTCTCCACTCCTCTCAATTCCTCCCCTCAATCTCCTCCCCCATCCACTCTTGCTCCTTTCTATTTCAGAAAAGTGTAGGTCTCCCATGAATATCACCCAGCCATGGCATATCAAGTTGCAGAAATACTAGACATCTCCTCTCTCCTGTTAAGGATGGATGAAGCCACCAGTAGGAGGAGAGGGTCCAAAAGCAAGTCACAGAGTCAGAGATAGACCCTACTCTCTCTGTTAGGAGTCCCACAAGAAGACTAAGCCACACAACTGTAACATATGTACAAAGTGCCTAGGTCAGTCCCATTCATGTTTTCTAGTTGGTGGTTCAGTCTCTGATCCCAGGTTAGCTGATTCTATGGGTTTCCTTGTGGTGTACTGAAACTTTATTTATTTGCTTCTTTTTTACTTAAGGCAAATCAATACATGAAATACAAGAAATGAAAATCTGTGTGTATTGTGCTTTTTATTAGTTTTTATTTACTGTTTAAAAATTCTGGTTTGCTTTGATTTTTTGGCCATTTGTAGCTAAAGAAGGAGAAAAGGTATAGAGTTAGATGGCTTGGGAGGTAGGGGTGGTCTGGGAGGAGTAGGGGAGGGAAAACATTTTTCAGAGTATAGTATATGAAAGGAACGATTTTCAGAAACAAATTCAGTTAAAAGAAAGTGATAACAGGGTACTAGTATCTAACTACTGAGTGTATCAGTATGTCAAGACAAATGAGACATCTTGGGCTCCGACGAGCCTTCAAAATTTAGTTTTTGTTCAATGACGAGATTGAACTGGAAACGAGATCAAATTACTGATGACTTGATGAAACCTGCCTACATCTTTACCAGCTCTCGGCCTGTGGTATGGTATAGGAACAGGTGCCTAGCAGTTTGAGAATTTCCTTGTTTGAGAATTCTGGGAAACACCTGGTCCCTAGCAAACCAGGTCATCACTGTACAAGGTGTACAAGGTGTCAGAGCTAATGATTGAAGCTGCCAGCTCTTAGAGGTAACTGCAGAATTCTATCTCTGACAGAGCAGAGATTTATACAAAATGGTGAGCACAACTGACCAGTGTCTCAGACTGTCTCCAGGCTAAATCCAAATAATTAAGATGAAGAGGAAACATGTTGTTTTTTGTTGGTTTATTTTAAGGATTCATGTTTTTTGGTTTTTTTTCCATTTTTTTTTTCTTTTTGTCACTTCTTAATGTAATGTGAGCAAAAACATCATTCAACTTTGAACATTATGTTACTGGTATCCTGTATATAACCTCAGTTCTGACTTGTGTATATGTGACAGAAAGACAGACAGATAAATTTACATTAACACAAGTTTGAAAGAACCACAATATAAATGAAACATACTTTTTAATTACTGCTTGATAACACTCTGACAGGTTTCTCGTGGTTTGCTTAGTTTATTTCTGTCCCAAACAGATTCTCATCCTTAGATTGGAGCAGCAGACCTAAAGAGCCATCCACAACACACTCCCATTATCCAACCCTCCCATTTAAAATTAGTTTGTCTTTTGCTGATAGGATACATGAACGTGGTTATTTAAATCGTATCCATTCCCTGTCCTCCTACAACTCCTCTCTGTACACATCCTCCACAGAAGATCCTCAGCAAAATATTCTCTTGTTCCTCAGAAGTTTAAAGGCAGTCCAGAGGGCTGACACCTCAGACTGGTTTTGCTGAAAAGTAAGCAAGCACAGATAAGCTGTGTGATGAACCTACCTGTACATGAGGTATGAATGTTCTCAAGATCATTGCATCTGTCAGCATCAATGAGTAACTCGGGCACATTTATAAGAACCTAACTGTCTGTCATGTATACCTTACAAAAAGACCCAGAAGATTCAATTAAAATGTTACATATTACATCATCTATCTGCATATCAGAAAAGTAACCTCAAGAGATGAACAACTCTCAGTAGAATTAGAACGTTAAATCTATGCTAACAGATTTTTTTCTTCTTATTTTAAAATGTTTTCCATGAATCTTGATGGATACATTGCATCCCTGATAAAGGCCATAGTTTCCCATATCTTGATACCAGAATTGAACCATTTGGCAGCATATATATTTTAATAAGCAGTACTTCATAATAAGCAAATCCAGTATATTTTCTATTAGTGAAATCTGTTTTTCCATTTTTTTCTAAAAAGAAATAGATTCTTTAAAAGAAGGTAATGGGACTGAGGCAGTACCTCAGATGGTAAAGGGCTTGCTTGCATTCGTGAGGACCTGAGATCAGTCCTCGAAAGCCACATTGTTTAAAAATCAAGGTTGCAAGAGATTGTATTTCAGAGCTGTAAAGGACAGAGATGAGCTGATCCCTTAGACCCACTGGAGAGCAAATCTAGCTCACTGTGTCATATTCTGTCCAGTGGGAAGGCCTATCCCAGGAAAAAAAATGATAGACAGCACCTGCAAAATAATACTGGAGACTGACCTCTGGTCTCCACGTGCATATGCACACAAGCTTGTGCACACTAGCATGCACAAATACACGTACATGGAAGCACTCACATGCACACATGTAATTAAAAACTAAAGTAGGAGCCATTTTCTATACCCACATGATTTGTTAACTTTGAGTTTCTTTTGTTTTGAAAGATTAAGTTTATTTCTCCAAAACACAGCTTAATTCTTCAATGGATGTTGACAATTAATGGAATAAAATATCATTTTCATCAAATAATAATTCATGCCGTGCTTACCTGGTGGAAGAAAAGCCCTTGCAAACACTTTGGAAGCAGTACCTGAAGAATCAGTTGGCATTTTAATGGAGAAACTTTTGCTAGGGTATAGCTATATTCTTTTATTTTATTATGTTTTTAATTGCAGTAGAATTACATTGCTTCTCCCTCCCTTTCCCATCTCCCCTACTCTCAAGTTGTTAACGTTTTTGATTATCATATTACTGTTGTATATGCTGAGTCTGTTTTTGTTATTTGTGTCCACTCTGCACTGGACAACCAATAAGGGAGTTTATTACAGAGAAAGGCTAATTAATTCTCCTTCCAGCAGTCAATAGTTATCTATTGTTCTTTGTATAGGGGTAGGACACCCCCAAATTTCCCCCTCCAGTGCTAACATGCCTGCTGATATTGCCATTGATCTGGTGTTTTTAATGGTTCATTCCCCAGACAGTGGAATCAAGGAGTGGGCACAAACTTTAAGAGACAGAGTATAGAGGGAGCCCAAAGAAGTTCCAGACATTTGCCCTTGAAAGAATATTATGATGCAACTCTCACCTTTCAATTTCCTCTTAGAGATGAGCAGCATTGCCTTCTGATATGTTCTCTGCCAAGACGTGCAGTCTTAAAGAGTCTTAAAAACAGCTGGGGCAATCAAAGACTGCATCGTCTAAATCTATAACCAGAATAAATTTTCTGACAGTATGAATTGATGACCTCAGATATTTTATACAGACACCAAAGCAACCACAGCTGTACATCTCAGATGTTTATGTAGTATCTCACTGTCACCATGGCTCAGAGTCCTTTACTACCTCTTAACAGAAGCACATCAGCCAGAGCCTTGGGGCTTTCAGGTCATTCTCTACCACGCCACCATGGCGACCTCTTTACCTTCTCTGTTGCTCTTGTCAGTATCTGAGGTTTTTTTGTTTTTGTTTTTTTTAAACAAACCAGGTTTGTTTATGTGTCTACCTATCAGATTTACACACTCAGCAAATGACTCTTTCTGTTCTATTCATTGATGAATTGAAATTTGTCATATATTGCATTAACATCAATATAAATTGAAGGATGAAATTCTTTTACATTTCATTTTCATTAGTTAAGGTATACTTATATTATTGCTTCTCTTCCTCCCCCTAGATGCTCCCAGCCCCTTCCCAACCCACTTCCAAATTCATGGCCCCATTTTATTTAATCATTCCTGATATATATATATATATATATATATATATATATATATATATGTATTGTGTGTGTTATACATATGTATATGCATAAATATAAATATGTATGCATTAATAAATTCATAAATACCAACTCTTGAGTTCATTTAGTGTTGTGTGTTCAGGGCTGATCACTTGATATTGGCGAGCCAATTAGAGGCTCATCCTGTGGAATGATTCCTCCTTTCTCAGGAGTCACTACAGGAGATTCTTTAGACAAATGGTTGAAATCACTTTCTTCAGATTAACAACTTGGCAAAAAGTATATAACTTTAGGTGGGACCACTGATTACCTATTGTGTTGGAACCTGTAGTAGAAATTATATAGTTCAGTGGAAACTTGGGGTAAAGTAATTACAAAGATAAAACAAAAAAATAAACCAACTAGAAATAATTTTTGTATTCATTAGGATCAAATTATTCAAAAATTGCAATCACAGCATGAACTTAGTCCACAATGTGGTTAGAATGAATATAGTTGCTCCTTGTTTCAGAGTATTATTTCAAAGATATAATTATTACATACTCATAATAAAATTAGTTTTAATTAAAAGAATTATTCAAACATTCTATTGCAAAATAAAAAGGAATTGCTGCAAGGCAAGAGTGAAGGAATTAGTATAAAAAACAGTAACACTTAAGTTTAATAAAAAGATACTACTAAATCAAGTTCATATTTAAAAAAGTAGAAATAAATCATGACTCAAAATGGGCTAATTCTTCAAAGAAATAAAGATAAGTTATTCTGTGTAAAGAATTATGGGTGAAGTAGAAATGAAACAGACATTTATATTCATTTTATAAGAGTATTTGACATTTAAACATATATATATATATATATATATATATATATATATATCTTAGTCTTGCTACAACTTGATATGCCATGTTTTGTTGAAACTTATAGAATACTGTCCTCTCCTAAACAGGGACAGGGAAGAAGTAGATTAAAGGATGGGACCAGAGGGAGTGAGGACCTGGGAGGAGAGGAGGAAGGGGAAACTGCAGCCAGCATGAAAAATAATAAATACATAAATTTATCTTAGAAAACTATATGTATGTTTAGTCACCAATAATTTTAAAGTTAAGTTGAACTAAATTCAGCCATTTGTATAAATACATAGAAAAATTCTTCCAGAACATAATATGTTGTTATCTATGGTGTTTGACACTCAGCCCGTCAATAAGGATCATTTCATGTTGTAGAAACAAGCACGCTCAACAGACAGCAACTCTCCTAAAAACAAAAGTACCCTTCACTATCTTATATTACTAGTGTGTATTGTCTTAGAATCCCATGCCATGTCTTATGACCAAATAGCCAAGATTGTAAATATTGGTAGTCGTTATGGAAAGGGAAAAATGATATACTAGAGAGAAAACAACAGTGGTGTTAAAGGAGAAGTGACATCTGTGAATTCTAATGTAATTCCTCTTCCAGAAGTAGCCACAAATCCAGGGGGGTGAAAGATAAAGCTTCCATGTGCAGTAAGTGCAAAGAACATAAAACAAGTGTTGAGCAAAAAGAGAGACAAATACAGTTATGTAAAATTTTATAATCAAAATTTGTATGTTTGCATTTTAGAAAAGAATTAAACTTATTCAATCCCCTGCTCCCTGTTGTCTTGCAACACTCTAATTTCTTGTCACTCTCTCATTTCCTGCAACTTAAAAAATAATAATACCCAGGAAAACTGCCAAGAATGCAAAAGAAAAATGGTTCTTTTTCAGAAAAATGTTCTTTTTGAAAATGCTGACAGTTCTTTGCTTATTGCTTCTTTCACATCTTTGTTCCTAAGGCTGTAAATCATGGGGTTCAACATGGGGATGACAGTGGTATAGAACACAGCGACCATCTTGCCTTGTTCCACAGATTCTTTGGAGGTGGGTCTGAGGTACATGAAAAAAAGCGTTGCATAGAATATGGTAACAGCTGTCAGATGGGAGCCACAGGTCGAGAAAGCTTTGCGCTTGCCTTCTGTTGAGTTGATCCTCAGGATAGCAGGAAAAATATACAGATAGGAAGTGAGAATGATGAGCAGGGAGAGGGAGAGATTGAAGCCAGCTACAACTAACATGGAGGTTTCTTTGCGGTAAGTGTCAGAACAAGCCAACTTAATCAGTGGTGGGTCAGCACAGTAGAAGTGGTTGATTTTATTGTGGCCACAGAAAGCAAGGTTGTAAGTCCACATGGTCTCCATGAGACCAGTGAGTGCCCCATACATGTAAGGCACTGTGACAAGGGATGTGCATACACTCCTGGACATCTTGCTACCATAAAGCAGAGGATTGCAAATAGCCATGTACCTATCAAAGGCCATCAGAGCCAGGATGTAGAACTCAACATGGACCAAGGCAATGAAGAGGTAACACTGGACCAAGCATGCAGGGTAAGAAATAGATTTCTTCTCAGAAAGGCAAATCTGGAGCATCTTTGGAGTCACGTTGGAGGAGAAGCACATATCCACAAAGGATAAGTGGCTCAGGAAAAAGTACATGGGAGTGTGGAGCCTGACATTGGCCTGGATGAGCATGATCATGCCCAGGTTGCCTGCCACTGTGACCACATACACCACCAGAAATACCACAAAAAAGAGGATCTGAAGCTCCACCTGGCTGGTAAGTCCCAAGAGGATGAACTCTGTCACAGAGGTGAAGTTTCTCTTCATGATGGCCTGCAAGAAGAAATGGAAACTTTACGTTAGAATAGACATGCCATAAAGGGTCACCATTTAAATGTTTCTCCTTCTGTGCTGACTCACTGATTAAGTTGGCTTGCTCTGACACTTACTGCAAAAGACAGTTCCATGTTTGTTGTGGCTGCCTCCAACCTCTCTCTCTCCCAGCTCTACAGAAATGTTTTCATTTTTGTTTTTTCTTTTCTTTTTCTATCACCTTTTTTTTTCCTATCTCAGTGGACTCCAATTTGTTTAAAAAACACTTGGCTACTGAGTCTTAATATATTTGATAGAGTAATCTTTTTGTATTTTTCTCTTGAACTATAAATATTCTTAGTCTAAATTAGAATTCTTACCTAACTACATTTCTTCAATTTATATTTTAGTTTTAAACTTTATAGCAATTTCTAGTTCTAAGATTTTTCCACTCTTTGTAAATAGACAAATGGATTTTGCTACTTATGAAATTTAATTTTCCAGGTAATTTTATTCAAAGTAGGAATGATGGTAAGACATTGCCTGATAGATAGCATTGACTCTAGACCAAAACATGTAAAATATTTATGCTGTGTGTATGAAGGTTCCAAATGATACCTTAAAACAATCTTAATTCTTTATAAAGTACAAAAGTCAGTATGTTGTATTTTCTAATTAGAGAAAATACTTTTAAAAGTGAACAATTAATTATAAAGCCTACAATAATGGTTTTGGAAAGTTTCATTGCATTTTTTTTTCAGTTAACTCAGTAAGCATTATCCAAGCTAATTATTCAAATATCAGACCTAGATTGGGATATAAAAATGACTTAGTTTAGGATGATCGTCTACAGTTGGGAATGCAGATAGATGCCTAGCAATCTCTCATATCTCAGACTGGGATTTCAGATTCTGGGTGAAACATTCAATTTTACCCCATAATCACACATATATTGCTTCTCAAAGTAAGAGCTGAGCTTAAATAATAGGTCATTGGGAAAGGAAAACAAAACTAAAACAAGTAAAATATAAAACAAACAAACACAAAAATGGCAATTCTTTGTTTTTATTTATTTTTAATTTGGCTTTGGTACTGAGATATGACTAAGGATGAAACTCAGTGTGCAATTGTAATCCACTTCTCGGTGACACAGGCTAAGGTATTTTCTTGCCTTTCTCTGGTTGTGATGGAAACATGGTCCTGATTCATCCTCTATTACAAGGCCTAGGAAGACTCTTCAGAGGGCAAATAGGGCAGGCACAAGTGAATCTGATAATCTACATTCTCGATAGAGTGTAACTAACTCAGAATTTTATATAAAGGAGAAATAATCTTCAAATTTTCCCTAGTGGTTGTTATTTTGCTTTGCTTCAGCAGGAATCCATCTTATTATGAAACTAGAATAAGCACTGTAGGACCAAACTTCATGATGTCAATAGAACTGACTGTAATTCAGATAAAACAATATGAAATGATTACTTTTGTTATTATTTATTTAATTCCTCAAAGCTTGTACCTAAAATATATGTTATAAAATAGTGTGCTGGCAATCCTCTTATCACCCTGAAGTCTAATTCTGGAGACCTTTTTAAACTGTCTGACACCTGGTTTGCATTATGACATTTCAAAATACAAAATGTCCCTAAATACAGATATGCATAACACGACAAAATGATTGAAAGCAGATGAAAGATATGTATACGTGTGCGTGTGCATGCGTTTATTTGATGCAAGAAGAA